GGCTCGTGCTTCACCACGGCCCCAGCCGGGCCAGCCTCGTTTGTTCCTTCCTTTTTATTATCCTCCTGTTCTGACACGAAGACCTGAGGTCTAAAATTAGGCCACTGGATCTCACACCTGACTTTCCAGGCTCCCGGGAAGGTGTCAAATCCGCACCTGGGGACAGTGTCTCCTGGACACGCTGCTCCGGGCGTGCTGGCTGGGGGACGCCTGCCTCTAGCCTGGGCCCGGGGGTCCCAGCCCCTGGCCGCCACTTCCAGCCACCGGCGCAGTTGGTGCAGTTTCCAGTCAGGTGTGAGGCGCCTGGAGGGCGGGGATCAGAGAAGCCGTGAGGTCCTCCCCACGCCCCCGGGACCAAGTGCTCAAAACCCAGAGCTGCCTCCCTCCGTGCAGGCCACACTCAGACCTGCGGCGGAGAACAGGGCTCCGGGCTCTGCAGGCCCTCTGCCCACCACCCAGCAGCCGGGGTTGGGGCGCGGCTGAGGGAGTCCTGCCCTCTCGCTTTCTTGCCGTGACAGTCCGCGCAGCTGGCCCGCCTCCTGGCTCCCTGCCTCGGACGCCCAGGGAAGGTCACTGCACTCCCAGTGCTGCTGAGCCTGAGATTCCTGCAGTTTCTGCCAAGAGGGGACGAGGGCATCCCCCGGGGTGTGAGCTGTGGGGGGCGGAGCTCAGGAAAAAGGAGGCGCCGCCCCGAGGTCCTGGGGGAGAGACAGAAACCAGCCTGTCTACAGACAGGGACTGAGAGGGGGCGGGGCCTGCAGGGCTCGCCCACCTGCACCTGCCAGTGTGCCTGGGGATGGGGCCCTGCAGGCTGCGGGCTTCCCCCGCCTGCACTCACCCCTGCTCCCTCCCCTGTCCCGCTACCCCTGCTGAAGAGGGTCCAGGCGGCCCACTGGTGCTGACGGGCGAGCAGACTCCTGGGAGCCCACGCCGCCCCCAGCACATCCAAGTCTCCAGTCTCCCCCTGGGTAATCCTGACCCCTGGAGGCTGGGGAGCAGCCACCAGATACAGAAATGCTCCCCAGGATGCACCCCTGAGCCGTGGAGCCTCTCTGGGCGTGAGATTCTGGGACAAGTGAAAGCACGTGGCCTGCTGCTCAGGAGGGCGGGGAAGACTGGGCGTCGCCACTGATGCCGCCGCCCTCGTGGACGTGCAGGACGGGGTGGGGCAGACCCAAGAGATTGTCCTCCCGCCGCTCCAGCCACATTGTCCGATACAAGCTACCGCTGCAGACGCCAGACCAGAGACGCGTCTCCTCCGCCCACGCGGCCCCCAGCAGGAACGGTGCGGAAACTCTGCCGCATCCCTAGTGTCAGGGCCCCAAAAAGGGCTGGCAGAGCAAGCCCAGTCCAGGGGGTCTTGCCAGGCTGCGGCAGAGGAGCCTCCCTCCTTGCCCTCCACGCGGCCTCGGCCCTCGGCGAGCTGACTCCATCCCAGCGGCGAAGGACACTTTACCAGCTCACTGTTCGAACCCTAGCCCTGCCGATGCCAAGACAGCTCTCCCTGCAGAGACAGTGGGGCCACAGGCAGAGGGGCTGCTAGCAGCTGAGAACACAGCCTATTCCCTGAAAAGCGCGCGCGCGCACACACACACACACACACACACACACACACACACATTGCAGAACACCTTGCACTTGAGCCCACGTCGAGCCCAGGGGAGCAAGTGTGGGTCGAGGCCAGACATCCATTAGTCCTTCGGGAACCCAGCTCTGAGCACAGCAGGTGGGGGCGGGGAGAGGGGGTGTGCCGTGGTGTCCGAGGGGACGCTGGTTGGAAGGGACAGTGGCTCCTGGGCCAGAGCCCTGTGCTCCCAGAGCCAAGATCTCAGTTCAGCCTGCCCAGCCAGCAGGCTCTGCTCAGGAGAGCCCTCCCTGGGCCACAGTTTAACATCCCCGCAAACAGGACGCACCTGGGGAGGATGTTTTTTTGGGCCAGTGGGTGCGTGGCCATCGAGCCAGACGGGAGCGAGGTGTCAGACAGCTCCCCTCACTCACCCATGCACACGCGTGTCCACCCCTCACACACCAGCACACGACCTCACTGAGGCCTCTAGCACACAGGGTGGCACTTAGGGTCCTCCCTCTGCAGACCAGCTGGCTCGTCCACCTCCCCACCCCAACCCTGCTCCTCCAGAAGCCCAGGCACCGGCTCTGACCCTGTGCAGCCCCCTACCGAGGAGCCACGAGACCCCCCACCAAGGAACCATGAGACCCCCCGTTGAGAAGCCATGAGACCCCCCCCCCAGAGGAGCCATGAGACCCACTCCCCTGGCTTCTGGACAAGCTTCATTGTTAACCAACTCCGGTGTTTGGACTGTGGATCTGATAACCAATGCTGTCTCCTCCCAAGCAACACCTTCTCCCCTGGGACCTACCCGGGGCCACCCCACTGGCGGGGGCCTCCTTCCTGCAGGTGGGGCAGGGAGAAGTCGGGGAGGTCTGGTTTGGGTGCAAACAGCGAGCTCCATACAGGGCCTGGACACCCCCAGGTGGGGCCACAGCACCTGGACAGAGACACAGGTGACAAAGGAAGAGCCCCCACTGGTCCCTCTCCAGCTCCTTTCCAAGCACACGCCCCCTGTGAGCCTCGCAGTTCCATTCCCTGGCGACTGGAATTGGGGGGTGAGCATTTGCATGAACAAATGAGCGAGTGGATGGATGACAGGCAGAGGAAGTGGTCTCAGCAGAGACAGAGCCAGAAACGCAGCGAGGAGCCAAGGAGGCCCTGCAAGGGAGGGGAAGCCTCCGCAGGCGGGGCTCCGGGGCTGCTCAGGCTGGCACGGGCTCTAGGCGGGCGCGGATGCTGGGCGCTGCCGGGCGGGCGTGGTGGGCAGCGCCAGGAGCCGCGGCCCTGGGAGCAGTCCAGGGGCCCAGGCTCCAGGCCAGACACAGCCCCTGGGTGGCCACCCCCGAACCCTGCCTCCCCTGGAGGACCCGGGGCAGGTCTGAGCTCCTCCCATGCCCTCGCCGCCCTCACACTCTCCAACGGCGCACCAGTCCCCCATGGGAGGATCCCTCGCACACACCCAAACAATTTCGACACCAACCCCTCAGCGCAATCGCGACACGGCCGTCCCAGCTCCGCGAGCTCCAGAAACCAGTTTACTCACGGGTTACAGGTTATTACAAAGGA